CAATACATCAAAGTCTTCCCATGTCTAAGCTTTTGTACAGGGCTCGCACAGAAGCTTGTTCCTCCACGATGATATTATTCCACATCTAAACAACAAAAAGGCTGTATAGTGTCATCTCTTAAATCAAAACTGATTGACAAGATTATCTGGTCTTACTTGTAGGAACATCTTGGTCACTAATCACACCTCCACAAAAAGGAGCTGGATTGATACTGTTATGTTCTGAGAGTTTATTACTGTAGATGTTTCTAGAAATCATCTTATTTTTCCCAATTATAAATTTATGCACTATTTCAAAAGAAATAAAAGGTAGAAGCTCTATAAAATGGAACTCATCTAAAACGAGCAAATATAAATGGGTAGGGACTGGGAAGGTTATGGTATTAATCAGGAGAAAGAGTAAAGGGTTAGCTAGAAGGATTTACTGTAGAGCTTATTTCGAATGCCAAGGAGGATGAAAAATAAAAGACACAATTAAAGTAGTGGAATGAGAGAGAGCATGAAGTAAGATTTCTAGTTTGTGACAACTGTACTTCTCCAGATAGTGCCAGGGACTAGACTAGAAGAGAGATTGCTTTTAGAGTCCAGTTTGGAAAACATAAATCATGCAGGAGGGTATATCAATTGGGAAAACCAATAATTGAGACTGGAATAATAAAGATCTTAAGACAGGCAGTTATGCATCTCAGTATAGTAGTTAAAACCATGGTCAGAAAATACTGTAGAAATACAGAGTGATGTTGAACTTCTCTTGTCTTGACTTCTAGCCTGTTTATTTCATGTCTGCTTTGCTTCTAAAATCTCTTACCCATGCTCTCTACTCTGTTTTTCTTTCAATGTATTATTTTAAGTATTCTCAATCAACCGTACCTTTTGAGAAATTCAAGGAAAAGCAGATAGGATTAAGACTAAAATAAACCCTGTAAAAGAATCTGATTACTTCAGAAAACATATTGGCTTACTTTGCTGTACTTTTTTTTGCTTTACAGATGCCAAGAGAGGATTAATCTATAATGTCTTTTTTATTATTTTACCTTTTATTCTAGTTTATATAACTAAAGGGTTCCCAGGACTGCTTTACGTTCATCCTGTTCATCAAAACACACTTCTCAACTGTTACGAAAATGGAGTCCAAAAGTTATGCTGTACAAACCAAACCCATTCACTTCTCTCTTGGAACACAATTGGTGATAAAGTCATACCATCATTTTTAACTGAGTAAACACTGTCTTGTTCCTTAATCATGCATAATTCTTTAGGGCGTTCACTTTATATTCCCCTCTTCAATATTTGAATATATCTTGGTGAGACATGTAGCAAGGATGCATATAATGAGGCATAATGCAGTTCTTTCACAATTGCTGTTTGAGAATGAAGTCCTATGCACTGAAGTCACAAAGGTCTTGTATCACTCTGTGTATGTACGTGCATTATGACAGAAAGGAAACAGAGTGTTAAGAACCTGTATTTTCAAAACTAACTTTTCATGAAAAATGGGGAAAGTAAAGTTTAAGCGGCAAAAATCAAAATAATGTCCCTGTTGTTGTAGAGGTTGCGGGAATCAGAAGAAAAATGGACTTTCCAATCTCAGCTCATGTTTGTAAAACATTGTCTTTTCTCATGCATCCTCTTTTCATGTAAATTTGAGTCAGCTGATTGTGTCATTGTCCTGACCAATAAAAGAGAGTAATTTTAAGAAAGTAGCTTTCATAGAGACTGGTTATATTTCAGCAGAAAAGATGAAATAACCTTCTGATGTTGAAACTCTGGCCTGCTGTGCATGTGTGTGTAGTGCAGATACAATAATGCATCTTACTGTTTACCTGATCTTAGTGAGTGAGAATCACTGAAAATCAAACCCTTTCCCAGACTCGCTTTGAACAGGGAACAGAACCTTCAAACTATTTTTTTTTTTTTAATGTGAATTCTCATTAGGAAGCTGAAATGTGCACCCAAGGAGGCTGGAAATGTAACTTATGTGTATAGCAGAAAAATGCAACAGCAACTATATCCATGTGAGATAATCAAACTCATTGTGTTGCAAAGGGACACTCGTACCAAAATTGCTCTTCAGAGATACTCTGTAGTGTAGTGGTGAGGAGCCTAACAAATGACAATATCTGCAGCTTCCTCTTAGGGATGTTGTCTTCTCTTATGTTACATTACAGTAGCTATACAGATGTGCCTTTGACTGACTTTATCACAAAACCAACTGCACTTGGCATTATCCTTAAACTCTAGCTTCTGAACTCATAACGCTGGCTGAGAGCTATCAGATTTTCTTTAAAAAGCAATCCTGCAATTCTATCAGTTCAGAGAGAAATCAGCAAGACAGCACAAGAACTCATTTTTGCTTAGAACAAGCAAGTAAAGTGGTATTTAAAGCCCACACTAATGTGAAGAGATCTGCAGTGTGACTTAGAATGCTTTTTTGTCAGCAGTACTGAGCATTGCAAAAAGAGCAAAGGTGTGGCCCTGAAGCCATGCTCTTTGAGTGTATGAGAGAGCTAGAAGCTTTAATCTTATTCCTTAGTAGGTTTTCCTTACTAGGGAATGATAAGGAAAATTTTTGGAAATGTTCAAAAGTTGTTAGCAATGTTTTACCAAGAATGCCAGTCTACCTGGATCCTGAATTTGATCCAGTCTGGCAGTTTCTGTGCTCCCAAGATATGGGATGGGGGGGGGGGAGAAGGAACAAGGTTTTCCCTGCATCCTCTCTCTATAATCAGCAAAAAGTCAGCCAAACATTTCTAGCCTCCTCCAGGAAGCATCCCTGGTAAGTATAACGTTTAGGCACTTAATGAGCAGGCTTAATGCACATGCTTAAGTTTAAGGGTAGTTTTAAGTGCTATGCTTTGAATCTGACCTGTAGAGTAGATGATTAAAGACAAAGGGCAAACATTTATTAATTTTTGGACTCATATATATAAACTATGTAATCTGCAGGCTTGGATTCACTTGTGGGAGTTAATTAACTTTTGTATTTGGTTTCGCTCATCCAAAGCAATGCTGCATCTTGTGTCCTTTTCTTCAACTCAGCACACCAGATACCATGAGCTAGCACCAAAATGCAGTGTGACATGAAAGTTGGGGAGAGGCTGCCTTTGGTGAACCCTCAGGCTTACACACCTCTGTATCATGTGATTGAAGAATGAAGTGTTTATGTCACATGAGCTAGGAGTATATGCTCAGATCTGTTCTCCATGTCACATGAGAATTATCTCCACCTCTCTAAACTCTTGTGCGTATAATTGTAGATATTTTACAGTAAGAAAATAAAGGAGAGGTAGACTTACAAACCAAGGGTGAATAGGCAAAGATTTGATGATTTAGAGCTGTTAGTATGATTAGGGAAAACTATGAAAATTTGTAAGAAACATTTGCAAAAAATAGAATCAAAGTTTTATCAAGTAGATGCGTGGCATTTCTTTGCTTATGCTGTAGTCTGCATTGTCTGTTTATCATAGAATCATAAAATGGTTTGGGTTGGAAAGGATATTAAAGATCATCTAGTCCCAACTCCCCTGCCATTGGCAAGGACACCTCCCACAAGACCATCTAACCTGGCCTTGAAAAATTCCTGGAAACGGGCATCCACAACTTTCCTGGGCAATCTTTTCCAGGGTCTCACCACCCTCATCATAAAACATTTCTTCCTAAAGTCTAATCTAAATCTACCCTCTTTTAGTTTAAAGCCATTACCTCTCATCCCATCATTGCATACTCTTTGTTAAAAGGTCCCTCTCCAGCTTTCCTGTAACCCCTTCAGATACTGGAAGGCTGCTATAAGGTCTCCCCAGAGCCTTCTCTTTTCCAGGCTCAACAGCCCCCTCTCTCAGCCTGTCTTTTTGGGAGAGGTACTCCAGTCCTCTGATATCTTTGTGACCCTCCTCTGTACTCACTCCAACAGCTCCATGTCCTTTTTGTGTTGGGTGCACCAGAACTGGACACAGTATTCCAGATCGGGTAGTTGTGCTTGGGGTTGCCCTGAGTCACGTGGAGGATCTTGCACTTGGCCTTGTTGATTTTCATGAGTTGGGCACCTCTCAAACCTGTCAAGATCCCTCTGGATGGCATTCCTTCCCTCCAGGGAAGGTGTTCCACACAGCTTGGTGTCATTGGCAAAGTTGCTGAGGGTTCACTCCATTCCACTGTCAATGTCACCGACAAAGATGTTAAACTGGACTGTTCAAGATGCCAAGCACACATTTAGTTTATTGGTGTTCTCTGTTCTGAGAACTGTGTGCTTAACTTACGGCTTTCTTTTTCTGAAACACACCAAAATGGGGTAATTCCCTGAGAATCTCAGTTGCTGCTCTCAAGTAAAGCTCATTCCTAGTTCTCCATCATGGAAAAAGGCTCGAAAACTTGAACTTTGAAGTCATAAGTACCAGAATAAAATAGCTTGATATGTATTTTAATGACATAATTGTATTTCATTGTCTTATGAGAGCTTGAGGCAATTCAAAAAGTCATACATAAGTGTTTGAGATTGTCAGCAGTGGTTTCAATAGCTTAACAATTGTAATTCATTTTTATATAATTTGGGAAATATACTTTGCATAAAAAGTAGCTAGTAAGAGATATGAAATAAGGATCCTGAAATTTGCCCAGCAACCTTTCAGCAGCTGACAGAATTGACTCTGTCTTCATTGTTATGACTAAATTTTGTAAGAAACAGCATAATTTAAGTATCTCCTTTATGATATAAAATTTATTATAATCCCATATGGATATGATGTGTGGAGATTTGTGTGTGTGTTGCTTATTTACTACATTTTTACTCTATTCCCTTTTTCTCATTTCTCACTTGGAGACTCTTGTCTGGTTTTCTTTAGGTTTGGGGGATTTTGGTTGCCAGCTTTTCCTTCTTCAGGACTGTAGCGTTTGTTTCTTTCCTTTCATGACACTAATGCTGCAGTCACCTTAAGTGAAGCTTCAAGCAGTCCTTTGTGTGACTAAAAGAAATTAGCTAAATAGCACTGTTTAATTAATTTCAGGACCGCCTCTTTTTCGTCATGGAGTATGTAAATGGAGGAGACCTAATGTTTCAAATCCAGCGCTCACGCAAATTTGACGAGCCTCGATCCCGCTTTTATGCAGCAGAGGTCACATCAGCACTCATGTTTCTTCACCAACATGGCGTCATCTACAGGTACTTTTTTTGATCAAAAATAAAGTCGTCTTGAGGCTTGGGGCTGGTTTTGGCTGAAATCCTCTGTCTCTTAGCAACCAGATTTAGATTAGTTGTTTGTTCCAATTTGCTTACATAGAACTTTTTTTGGCTGTTTATCGTGGAGAATGTTAACATTTGAATAGCCTGTGCAGCAGTCGCCAGCTGTGTGTGCCAGTTTTGTATTATAGTCCAAATAAAGCGGGTTTGAAAAAGCTTGGCAGAGGGCGACCCAGAGGTGACCTTTCTGCAGATCGGCGCAATCTCTTCACTTTCCTCTCTGTGCCATAGATTTCCTCTGGGTTTCTAACTCTCTGCCACTTCCTGAGTTTGTTTGTCCTACTTGTCTCCACTCTGATACAATCGGGATGGTCCTATGCAATGCTTTGCTTGTGCCCCTTCCTCTTGACTGTTTGGGTGAAGGCTGAGTCACCAGCAGGAAGTGGTTCTTTGCAGATGGTTTTGATTTGCTTGCAAGTGCCCACATCTATTTGAACCTCCTCCCCCTCCCTCCTCCCGCCACCCCAAACCTCTAATCTTCAACACCCATGCACACACACAAAAGAAGTGCATATTGTTGTCCTGGGGTGAAGAATGGATTTAGGGATAGGCTTTTATTATTAAAAGTAAGGAATCACTTTGAAAATTTTCACTCTGATGTCAATGTGTTTATTAAGTCCTTTATCTTGTCATTTCACCCTTCCTCTCTCTTTTTATTTGTTTTTAGCAGCCTGTCACTGCTAGCAATAAATCTGGGCTTTCACAAGCAGTGTGCTTTACAAGTTTTGTCATATGGGTCTGTCCTGTCTACTAAAAATTCTGAGTCCTGTGGATCTAAGTTCTGATATTCTCACCTCTTTCAGGCGATCGGTTTCGATTTGGGGTAGTCATCTCAGGGACAGGCAATCTCATATTTCTTGAGCAGAAAGATCAAGACAAGGATGTGGAATTTGTCACATCCCTAGATTTATATTAAGGCTGCTCTCAAGAGTACTAGAAATTGAAATAAATAAATTATAAATGTTTAGTAACCAAGACTGAGTGGTAGCTTCCACCAGAGGCTGTTGGCTTTCCCACCAACTCAGATTTAAAGGGAAAATTCTGAGAGGAGTCTCCTTTCCAGAGACATCACAAACCTCAGAACATTGCATCATCAGAGGAAAATTATCTCTGTGAAAGTGGTCTTTCAGTGAAAATTTAGTTTTCTTTAGAAAATGGTGTTGCTAGCTTCAGCTCTCAATTTTGATCTTCTGATTACATTGGTAACGATGTTTGCATACTGGGTTGGACTTCAAACACTCACATAGGTTTATTTTCAAGTGCTGAAGATGTGACATATTTCTTGCCTTTGCTGCCCATACCACATTTCCTAATAATTTGCTGCATTTTTTCCCAATGCTATGTCTTTGTATATTTAGATAGCAGAATATCGTAACTACAGAATTTGTAAGTATCCATCATAAGGAAAACAGGTAGGATTGGTACCTTGAAAAGTGAAGGATTTTGTGGATTTGTTTCCATAAAAAGACTTAAACTAATTTCCTTTTCCTGAAAACTGGAGTTTCATAATTATTCCTTCATAATTAGCTGTCAATTTAGTGTTTGCTGTGAACCAGCAAGAAAGAATTGATACTATTACCTTCCCCCCTCTTTATATGAGTGTGTATTCATTGTCCCTCTTACCTCCCTGTTCCCATCCTTTGACATACATCCTCTTCTCTCTCCTCTCTCTTTTCTCCCTCTTTTTCCTTGTGTGACATGTAGCTTCTGCTGTGTTGGCTCCTAGCTGCACTGAATCAGTTCATGTGCCTGTGTTCTTTCTATGACTTTTTATTGTCAAAGTGGTTCAATCCCAAGAGAAGTGTTATTCTGATTGAACAATGCTTTGTCATTTAAACTTTGCAAAAAACACTCTCAACTCCTGATTCATAGACTATGCTGACATCTTTGGCATGCTACAGTGAAATAGTAAAATTGTAAATGATGTGTTATATAGACTGTATTATCAGAAGAAGCAAAAGAAAAGAAATAACATAAATTGTACAATGAAAGCAACAGGAAGAACATGAGGAACAGATTTAGTTGTATTCTGCTTTGACACAGGCTTTTGGATCTGGACATAGTTATGTTCATAAGAATAACTCATTTTCCCAACTGGGGGATACTAAGAGCTTCAGCAATTCATAAAATGTATATCCCAGTTACTCTATAAAATACAACCAGAAGGAAGAAGTTTGAGATTATCTTAAAAGAACTAATCATTACAAAAATGTCACAATCCATTCATAATGTGCCAGACCCTGGGAGAATGCATTTGCTGATGTCATGTGTATATTAGAATAATTGTCTTGCACAGAACAGTTTCAGTCTGATTATTCCATACCTCACTGTGTCATTTATTACAATGTTTTAAAAGCATTGGGATTGAGTAGTTCCTTTACATCTCTGAAGCTCTTATTAGCTGGCAAGCAAGGAAAGGAAAGGGTAAAAAAGAGGAAGAAAAGACCTGTGCTCCTGAATAACTACCAGTCATAGCTGCCTAACATGCCTTCAGATATTTTAATAAAGAGTAGTTGTCTTCTGTGTAATTATATCTCTAGAAAAAACATTGTGGTGTGAAATTAATGGTTATTCTCCAAAGTGGGAAGTGCTGCTTGTGTGGGCAATACTTCAAGGAAAGTGAGGAATATAAATAAACTAAGATGTTTGATGGAAATGCAGGTTTCAAAATAGCTGCTATACCTTCTGATCTTTTTTCAGCCACGTATGTGGAAGTATTTGTTTGGAGCTAAACATGGTTATATTTTTGGAAGTAAATAACTAGCTTTAGCTCATGCTTTGGCTTGTTGGTTAGATTTTTAGAAGGTGCTGTGATGATGCTAAATGATCATCTTTTATAATAACTACTTTATCCTCATTTCCCCTGAAGTTCAAAGAGAAAGTTAGCTCCTTGTTTGGCAATAGAAATTCTTTGCAGCTGGCCCAACAGTTGTTCCCATACTTGTCCAATTATCTGTGTGCATACTGGAATTTCATACCTTCCTTTTGTTTATCAAGTTTATGTCAGAAATAAAGATGAACCTCCCAATTTTTATAGAGAGAGATACTGCTGTTACCAAATGCATCTTATATGATAGATAAACTTTAGGATAATTTTTCAGTGTGGCATTTTCAAGGGTGTAATGTTACTGTTGTGTCAAAAATGCTTCAACAACTTCGTAAAAATACTTGCATTATCCCTGCCACCTTCCCTCTCATCTGGCATTCAGCTATCCAGGCACATGTCAAGCTGGGGCCTGATAATACAAGTAGGGTCAATCAGATACAGCTTCAGTCGCAGCTTTTGGCAGTTGTTGTTAGTGTTATGCAATTGCACCACCTTGAAAAAAATATATCCAAGCTTCAGAAATTAAGGGCTAGACTAGGAATCTCATTTTGTCTGTGAGCTGAACTGGACTTTGAACTGGGTGATGAAAGGTTGTGCACTATGTTTACTGTCACATGGCCCTGGAGTCTGGTATATTTAAAGTCAGTCATTGTCAGCTTAATGTTCTCATATAGGGTAGACGCAACAAACTGAATGTTAAGAAACTGCCAGTTCCCTACTCCTCCCTTGTACTGACTTTCAACATTCGTATGCACTTTCCACAGATGTATGTAAATGCTATGCATTCTTGATTCACCTGTGGTTGTTGGGCTGAGAACTGGAGTACCCAAGTGGGTGTCTCTGGTGCTTGTTGTAGGAGTTCAAGTGAGGTAATACAAGTGGTGGCCCACTCTGGCCTGAAATACATACAAAGAACTTTTGCCTCCCCAGGCAGGGACATCAGCACTAGAGTGGGGTACCAATCCTTTAACATAAATGTCTAGTGTCCTGAGTTCATTTATGCTTTAGGGAGTAACTGTGTGAGCTACAAACCTTGTTTCAGTGAAGAACTGAGGGGCTAGTAGTTGCATGTTGTGTGATCTCTGGCATGAGCTAGGACCACTCAAGTGACTATATATGGGGTGTTTTCTCTGTAAAACAAAGAAACTTGAATGTGAACAATTTCAGTTCACCTGAGAGGATGAAAATATCTTAAATTGGAAATTAGTGTCACCTGTTCTGGATTAACTCATTCTTTTGGTTTTGAATGCAAAATCTGTGAGATGGTGCCTTCAAGTCACAGGAGAGTCCTCATAACTATGGGTTCTCATATGCCTCATCCTATGAAGTAATAATCCAACCTGTAACTTGCTGCAACTTTCTGAGGCTCTGTACGTTCTGTAATTATTATGTTGGTTGCGATGAAGGATATACTAACATTGAACTGAGGAGAATGCGAATATAAATAAGCTGATGCCAATCCTTTAATACCTCTGGGCTTTTTCCATACACAAATACCCCAAGAACTTGTTCGAACACTAACTAGATTTTTCTTTGGATGATCAGTTTTCCCAGCATTCCCATTTATCTGGATAACACACCAGTGTTTAAGAAAGATCTACCTAAAGTTAAAAGCAGTTTCATTAGTGTGTTTTTATGTGAAAGAAGAATATTTATAAAGTCTGACTTCACTGGTGGTTGTATGATTCAGTGCAACCTTGGCAGAGTAACGAGAAGTTATATTTACACTGATGAAAATGTTGCATGGTCAGTGGTTAACATGTTAAAAGTCATCATTCTCCCAAGTTACCTTACTGTGTTATTTCTGAGTGGTGGCAGCCAAATAAATTTCCCCTCCTCCACCTCCCTTTTTTATTTTTTCTTGGCTTTTTAAAATACAAAACTAGACATGGAGCATTTTGGTTTAAATTTGGTTTTAAGAGTGTAAAAATCACCATATTTCTACGGTAAACAGTTAAAGGGTAAATTACTACTTGAGCTATGGTCCATGAAGGAGGGGGAGAAAGACCTTGTAGCCTCAGCATAAACAGACCTAATCATGGGAACATCCTGAACTCTGGCATTTCCCCACATAAGCTGCCTGTTGCAGGATTCT